AACACAGTGGACCAACACCAGCAGATGACATGACACCCCAGTGACTGTGGAAACTTGACACTGGACCTCAAGCAATGTGAATTCTGTGTCTCCTCTCTTCCTCCAGACTCTGGGACCTTGATTTCTAAAGGAAATGCAAAATTTACTGTAATCAGAGAACATAACTTTGGACCACTCAGCAGCAGTCCCAGGCGAGATGCTTCTGACGCAGTCTCTTGTTCAAAAGTGGCTTGACCTGGGGAATGCGGCGCCTGTAGCCCATTTCCTGCACACGCCTGTGCACGGTGGCTCTGGATGTTTCTACTCCAGACTCAGTCCACTGCTTCCGCAGGTCCCCCAAGGTGCGCGCCAACGGTTGCAGATTTTCAAAAACAGCGCCTCCAGGACGGTCCAAGCGCTGGGCCGGTAGACAATACCCATATTTTCCCTGGTCCGGGCACGTAGGAAGCTGGCTGTGGAAACGTTGACCACGCAGAGCTTTGAGTTTTACCAGCCGGCCGGCACGTTTACCCCGGCGTCTGGATCGATATCTCCGAGAAGGCAGGCTTGGGGTCCAGCGTAAACAAGCAGGCACGTCTGCCAGAAGGGGTGGAAGAGGGGGGGGGTCCCGAGTCACAATCAAAATGATCCGAATCAGCGACAGCAGAAACAGACAATCGAAGATCGAGGAGCTGTTGTCGGTCATACACAAGCAGCGAGTTGATATCCCAGACAAAAAACGAAAAAAGCAGAAATAATCCAAACAGTATCGTCAGAGGTAGATTGCAGGCCATGTACACAGGCGCCATCTTACCGGAAGGTCCATATGTAACTCTATGTTGTCCTCGACAGTTGCAACACTTCTCCTTTTCTTCTTTACGTTCTTCTGTCCTGTGATCTTCTCCACACTTTGGATCTTCTTTACATTCTTCTGTTCTATGATCTTCTCCACACTTTGGACACCTGTGTTTACCTTTGCACGCTGCTGCCATGTGTCCATATCTCTGGCACTTGTAGCAGCGGAGTGGTGGTGGGATGTGAGGCCTAACTTGAAAATTCAAATATCCTATTTTTATGTTTGCTGGTAAGGTTGTCTCATCAAACTCAATCATAATTGATAAACTTCCTATTCTCTCCCCATTAACAGTTCTTGACAGTCTCTTCAAGTTGTTTACTTGTGCACCAACAATGTTCCTTTTGATTTGATCTAAATCTTCATCCACTGGGATCCCGTAAATAACTCCGCGAACTGTTTTCTTTTCTCCCATTATCTTTCTTTCCATGACCATTCTTTTACAGATGTTCTCGACGTGCAAAGCCTTATTTTGTTGTTCTTCAGTTTTACACGACACAAATAAATTTCCATCTCTTAACACCTCCACCATTTCTACATCCCCAATCTTCGTTTTTATTTATTTTTTTATATCAAAATGGGCCTTAAGTTACCCTGCCCTTCCTCATTTTTTAGTTTTAATATTACTTTAAATTCATCCCTCACTACTTTTCTTCTTACCACCCTTTCTTCATCCGAGCTGCTCCCTTCCAACTCCCTTTTATTACTCTGGCTGTCATTTGTCCCTTCCTCCATTTTATTCCACGTCCTCTCCCTCTACCTACCGGTGTCCACCCCTCAAAATCCATGTCTGCCTCGTCTCCTACCTGTTTTTCCATCCGAACCATTCACATACCAGTTTATGCCAATTTTCGCCTGTTCCAAAGTAAAAAAAAATGGTCGAATATCGATAATCCGTCAAAAAATGTTTTAAATTCCACGCCCAACAGCTCTCTCCTAGGACCTCTTCTGCAGTCTCCAGGCACCAGACTGTGAGGGAGAGAAGCGTTTAAGCACCAGAGCACAGGTGTTTCTCATGAACACTAACGAGCTGCAGTGAGAGGAGGTGTGACAGACAGAAAGCTGCAGATAGGAAGCAGAGCTGACAGAAACCAAATGAACATAGAGAAAACTAGAACCCAAGCAGTGGAATGAGTGTTTTAGCAAAGAGCAAAAGTGTGCATCGTGACAATACCTGGATTATTGAGCATGAACTTTGTTGGTTAAAGTAAAGCTGTTGCTCCTTTTCTTCAGACTGGATAAGAAAAATGCTGAAGGATGCAGAAATCCACAAACTGGGCGTTCTGTGAGTAGATGTTGACTCATGAAGATGGAATGGTCTCCTAATCCCTCTCACTGCAGGGAGGATGGTTCTGCTGGGTCTTATAGATTTATTAGTACACCTGAGCAAGCAGCCACTAGCTGCACTTGTTGTCTGAAATAAATAAGTGTGGTCAAACTAAAGACTGTGCAGTGACTCCTGAATGTAGGAACATGACTCTGCAGTCCATTCGTTCTTTTTGCAATAAACTATCCATGATTTGGGGGTTTTGTTTAATGTTAAGAATCTGTTGGACTCCTGGCAGGGACCAATGCAGACATGTTCCTGTTTTTAATTTTCTACATTTGCCTTAGAATCTACCTGTTTTTGGTTACTTTTCTTTTCTTTTTACTTTTCTTTTTTAGCCATCCTATTTGTTAAAAAAAATGTTTTAATGGAATGACTTTTTGTAACGGTTTCTTGTTGTCCATTGTTGTCATCATTCTTTGTTGAAATCAGGTCTCTCTTGTAAATGAGTCCTCAAGGCTCAGTGGGATTTACCGTCTAAATAAATGTTGAATGAAAGTTAAAGAAATAACTCATTTTCCAGGTATGCACAACATAATTTCAAATTATTGTTTATTATTTTAATTATATATGATCACTTTAATCAGCCATCATGTCACGGTTTCTTCACCTCTATTTTAAGCTGTTTCTTTAAGAAGTGCAAACTACTTAGTCCCTCCTAGAGCCTTCAAAAAACATCAGATCCATCTTAATTTTAAGTATAGACCTGTTATGTGTACAAACTGCAGTTTTATAAAATGTGCAAACTCATTTTTAGTGGTTGTTTTACTGAGTACAATGTTAATTCATCAATGAGACAAACTCCTGTTGTCTTGTCCTGATGCTGCTTCCTCAGCTCCTGATGGGAGTCACTGCAGCATGTCAGGAGAATTAGCTCCACCCTGCAGCCTGCAAGGCCAATCAAATTTCATTGATTTTAGTGACGGTCCTGGTTTGGAAAGAACATTAACTCTTTGTGGGCTGTATCATAAGATAAAACTTCACAAATGGATCACTGTGTGGGGAAAAAAATCACCTAATTTCATCTCTGTCCTTTTTATTATGCACATTCCTCCCAGAGACACTGGAAGGTTGATATTTATATATTTTTCTGTTTTACTTCTAGGTCCTCTCGTTTACATCTCTCACCTGAATTTTAATTGTTCCTTTTTCTTTAAACATGGGTCGGTTAGCTCCTTTCCTTCTCTCCACATTTCTTTCCAATGCACCTTCAAATGTTTTTCCTCTCTATCTGGCATCAAACCCTCCCAATCCCTCCTGAGCTTCATTCATGAAAATGCAGATCCACAGCAGGGCAGGGAACGACGTCAACAGACGTAAACTCCCCTGCTCCACCAACCAGAAAAGGCACGCTATAAAAAAAAGGCAGCAGCAACCAGGCGACCCTAATTCAGTGCAGCCTTCACCAGAAATAGCAACTCATGCATGTATTAATCCCCTGCTAGCCAAAAATATGTGATTGAAGGAAGTCTGCTGCCATTTATTGCTTGGGACATCTCCTTTACCACAGAAATGTGCTATTTATCATGATGTCTCATATGGAGCTCTGCTTCAAGTATGACTCACATTTGCTAAATATTGCATTCCACATTTGAGGAAATGTTGAAATCTGCCGTTCACCTTTGCATTTCTTTTTTTACTCTTTATGTGCTGGCATTTTTTTTCCCGTTTTTAGCTTTCTGTAACCATCACCACACCTCTCTGCAAGAAATGCTGTGAGTGTAATAGTGCACCTAATGTGATGCAGACACTGTGATTTAACCCGTCACTGCACCGCAGACCAGACGAGTTGTATTTGCTGTTATTTTTAAATTACCCTAGATGCTGTTTCTCAAGCTCCTGTATAAATGCTACGGAAAAATAGGATTTATGACGTCGTATTGGAAAAAGACACAGCAAAACTTTTTGTTTCAATTGTTCAAATATATTTTTATGTTGTAATGTAAGCATTTAACAATTAAAATGTTTCAAAAGAAGTAGACTTTAGATGCATTGTCATTTTAGAATAAAGTTTCCAAACTTTAGAATGACATGTTTAGGCTTTTTTTGTCCCTCCTCCTTTAGTTGAAATAAAAGTCTTTGGTTGTAAATGTCCTGCTTTCCGATCTATTTTTAAACTGCTGTGCTTGTTGGGTGAATAATGTATGTCTCAGCTCTGTTCTGATATTTTAAATTTGATGTTTATAGATGCAAAGAGGGCAACGTGATGTGTAATTGCCTTGTGCCACTCTGACATTAGTGATCCCACAATGGTGCAACTAGAGGGAAACAGTCCTCCTCGTTTCTGCATCATGACATTTTAAATGGCACTTTTTAAGCCCAGGGCTGGCTCTTCAGCTCCTATTAAGAGCTGAGCACGGCAAACTTTTGTTTCCCCTTCAGCCCTGCTTTAGTTTTCCATTCTGAATGGAGTCCAAACATATAGTAAAGCAATATTCTACAATTAATTTCTTTATTTTATCACTTCATGGTCATAAGGGCAGCATACTAACCAGGCCTGCCCAGATTATCTGACTTAAACCTTAAGAGGAAACTTGATGTCATTGTTTTGTGTCAAAACTATATTTTTCTAGACATCTTCCTGTTCAGCTCTGCACCACAAACGATCAGTGAGTATTGCATAGGGCACAAAGCCACAACTTTCATAATCGATTCATGCCTTATGGCTACAATAGGCTACACAAATGTGTCAGTTTCCTTATGCAAGACTTTACTCACAAGTCATTTTAGGGTCTGTTCTGCGCAATCATTATGTAGTTTCCCTTTATTGCACATTTTTTGCTTTTGTATATTTTTTATTTATTTTACTTTTAACCTTTTACTCCTTGGTTGTTTTTCTAGATGGAGGAACGCAACCAGATAAACCTCCCCGAATGCCAATCAGAAGAAATTTGTCTGTTTTACTCCCGTCACCGAGCTTGCAAGTTATGACCACGTCCCAAGTGTTTGAGGACCCACTTCCACTCCAGTATACACCAGAACCTGTTCAAAAAACAACTCCTCCACTTACCTCTTCCAGCAACGTGGATCTAAATATGACCTTTGAAGTTAATGAGAATGATGATCAAACTGCAAGAAATGCAACCATCACAATACGCCATGGCAGTCTGTCTCAAGCATCAAAGTTCCCAGGCCTCAGTCAAAAAAAAAATACTCCCGAAGCAACCAGGGGTAACCGGTTTCATTTCAAAAGGTAAGAAAATGTTGCTTTTGCAGTAGGGGAAAAAACGATTTGATTATCCATTGATTCTGCAAGTTTACTCAACTTTGTCTCTCAGGCGTATGCTTAAAGTACAGGTCCTTCTCAAAAAATGAGCATATTGTGATAAAGGTCATTATTTTCCATAATGTAATGATAAAAATGAAACTTTCATATATTTCAGATTCATTGCACACCAACTGAAATATTTCAGGTCTTTAATTGTTTTAATACTGATGATTATGGCATACAGCTCATGAAAACCCAAAATGCCTGTCCCAAAAAATTAGCATATTTCATCCCACCAATGAAAGACAAGTGTTTTTAATACAAAAAACGCCAACCTTCAAATAATCATGTTCAGTTATGCACTCAATACTTGGTCGGGAATCCTTTTGCATGAATGACTGCTTCAATGCGGCGTGGCATGGAGGCAATCAGCCTGTGGCACTGCTGAGGTGTTATGGAGGCCCAGGATGCTTCGATAGTGGCCTTAAGCTCATCCAGAGTGTTGGGTCCTGCGTCTCTCAACTTTCTCTTCACAATATCCCACAGGTTCTCTATGGGGTTCAGGTCAGGAGAGTTGGCAGGCCAATTGAGCACAGTAATGCCATGGTCAGTAAACCAGTTACCAGTGGTTTTGGCACTGTGAGCAGGTGCCAGGTCGTGCTGAAAAATGAAATCTTCATCTCCATAAAGCTTTTCAGCAGATGGAAGCATGAAGTGCTCCAAAATCTCCTGATAGCTGCTGCATTGACCCTGCCCTTGATAAAACACAGTGGACCAACACCAGCAGCTGACATGACACCCCAGTGACTGTGGAAACTTGACACTGGACCTCAGGCAATGTGAATTCTGTGTCTCCTCTCTTCCTCCAGACTCTGGGACCT